CGAAATGCCTCTCTATCTGTAATGCCACGCTTTCTTATATTGCATTTTTGGATAGTATTGATGGTTTCTATAATTGCGACGTGATAGTGGGGAATTAAGTCGGGTAGGTCCGCACTGAAGGCCCAGGTACCAAATGGACTGCATCCAGCCCACCAAAGCTTTCCATCTGGCCCATCCAACGCTGTGCCTGCCTCGCTAGTTGTGCACTGAAAAGCGCTAGCACTCATTGGTTTTAGGCACTGGGTGAAATACAAGGGCCTTGGGGGTGTTTTGTGTTGTGTTGTTTGCTGCTGAGCAGGTAGTGGACAGTGGCTATGAGAATGTTGACAGTGAACAAGAACAGTAAAAGTGGTGGTCGGACACTAAATGAGCTGAAACCCGTTATTAATGTCTCACTGCTTTTCACCTTGTATTTAATCTCTGGTTGTAGCAGCTTTGTACACAGTACTGGAGTAAATGTATAAGGGTCTGAGAGCAAACCAGGACCAACAACCCTGGACCATAGGCCACTCCATTACCTGTCCTGATTCATTCACGTTCTCTGTGTGTTGTTGGACAGAAACCTTGGTGGCAGTGATAAATCTCTTCATTAGTGCTGTGCTTGACGTCGCTAACAGCAGCGCTGACATGTTTTGGTTGTGCTCGAGGATGATGGCACAGACCTGCTGCTGATCAACCTTGTTGACATCCAGCACAATGAATAGAGAATAACTTCACCACTACTCTAAGCCTGCTAATTAGCTAAGTTTCCCTCCAAAGGACTCTCAGTCTTTGGATCCTATACTGTTCTCACTGCTGCAAATTGAACAGAGATTACTTTTGTGTCCAGAGCAGCTCTGCCATGTGTGCTAACCTGGGTCACAGTGTAACAGACTGGAGTTTGTCTTAAAATCAATACTTATATTTTAAAGTGCAGTCAGTCTCTGGGGGAAATAAACATAGTCCCTGAAATCTTCAAATTATGCAGAGACCATTTGTTAAAAGAAGATAGTGAAAATAAGTTTCAGTTTTAGATGGTGGATAATTCAAATAGAAGCCCTTAATTTCACTTCTATCATGAGTGCAAGCTCTAGTCAAATGGAACCCTAAACTATTCAAGCTCTTTAGCGTCAGGAGGAGTGTGTAAGGCGAGAAAAAGCATCCGCTCATTGTGACAGCTCATCCCTGGAGAATGCACGATAAAAACAATGCAGGCACAAAAAGAAACAAACCAAAAGTACAAAATAGCAAAGGTATTTGCCATCTGTGTTTTCATGTATAAAAGATAAAGCACTTTGTCTAGTGTCCACACATCCACAGCGCAGAGGTAATCCCAAATTTCCCAGGACATCTGACATGTTTGTTTTAGCCAAGCAGAGTTGTAGAACAGAACAGGAACCCTAAATCATCAGTGGGCCACCAGCCAAAGTGGCTCAACAAGCACATCAGCCAAAACATATCAGCGTTGGGCTGGTAAGCTGTTTGTCATGCATCATCAGATGTACTGAATGACTGTGCTGCCTCACTGGGTTAAATTACAGGGACAGAAGAGAGCAACCCTGAAAGCTCCAGCACCGTGAATACAAAGACTGTCATATGTTTGTTACATCTCTGTAAAGTGATGAACCCTCAGTGCAATACCTGTAAATGAACATTGTACATATTGATCCACTGAATCCAGACTGTGTATATCTATATCTATATATCTATCTATATACTTGTCCCCCTATATATATATATATGTATATGTGTGTGTGTGTGTGTGTACAGGTCTCTATTTATAAGTACTTTACTGTTATTTTTTTAATCTCTTTTCATAATGCACTCCTTTGCTTGTTGACATGTTTGTACACACTGAGAGCCGATGTACCAGGCACACCTGGCCAATAAAGCAGATTCTGATGTCTTAATGTTTTTTATTACCCTCTGCTAACAGTGACAATGCTAACATGCTGATGTGCAGCAGGTATGTTTACCATGTTCACCCGTAAACTGTATATAAAGAAGAACAATGTGTCACCACTTCCTGTGAATATACAATAGTAAAGCCAAACTAACGTCAGTACAGGGTCGGCCATCTTGCTTTTGTGACACAGCTTGCAGGCAGACTCTGTTTATACTTCCTGCTGCTAGTGGACGCCAATCATCTACAGTTACAGAGAAGTTTCTTGTATTACTGCTAGTATACCCTGATCAGTTTGATTCATAATATTATGTCATTGATCATCCCCTCAGTCCGATATATGACTTGAAATGATCTCATCTGTTATTTCATGTACGCGCACCACTGGCCTCATTATCAATCTAATCGACATCGAACATAAACTCATTAGTAACCATCCACAGTCTCACTCCTCAGTTTCAGCCATCATCTTTTTTTGACATCAGTATTACACCCCCCACCCCCCACACACACACACCATCAGTAAATGGCCATGATCTGACTTCATAGACCACTCAGAGATTATCGCTGTGCCCTCTGACCCTGACACAAAGTAGTGTTTTCTCTGTGTCAGTCAATAAACTGGAATCAGCACGGCTGTGAAACAACATGAGAAAATAATGAGTATGTGTGTTTAGGTTTGCACTGGTGTGGCTAATGACTTCTTTTGTCTTCTCATTAAAGAACAGGAGGGTGAGTAAAAAGTACTGGAGGTCGTTCTTTTTGAAGCGCTATTCCCTCTGACTAATTTATCTAGCTTGTTCTCATGCAAATGAAGTTGCTACTTAGGGCTTAAAGCTTTTTATGTGAGCAGTGGTTCGTGACATTTACAGAGATAGAAGGAAGCTCAGGGAGGCAAAGTACCGGGGATCAACTGGAAATGGGCAGCAGTGGAGGATGGACAAAGGTG